TTTTATCTGAGTGCAGCAGAGTATGAACAATTCAGTTGTGAGAGGAGAGCCCGGGTCCTGAAGTGCTGGCTGTCCGTGTGTCGGGATGGACCTCCTTCCTTCCACCCCAGCTCACTGCCTTCCCCACATGCTCCCTTCCCTCCTCCCGTCCTGTCTCACTTCATCAAAGGGCACGTGTCCCTACCCTGTGCCTTCAGTCCTCTGCTCCTGACTGCCATGCCTGGTCCACGGGCCTTGAACTTCCACTTGACCGTCTCGTGTTTCACGAAAGCAATGCTGCCGTCTTCCTTTTAGCACAGGAGTCGGGATTTCCTGCAAAACAACTTTCAAGGTTCGTTCTTGTCATGCCTGTTAGAAGCCAGGAGCATGTGGGCACAGCCAGCAGTCACGCTGGTATTATATGTGATGGGCTGCCCCGAACATCTACATGCCCCCTCGCACTGAGCTCAGATCCACCTTCCCTGTCACAACCCCGTGGGGCTGCCTTGCTAGGACTCGGGAGACACTGCACCTGGCACTGTCCCCGCGGGGCTCACTAGACGCGCCCTGGCTGGAAACAGCTCTGGACTCTCTGATGGTCCGCGGTGCTCGGCCACATAGACCTTGCCATCTCCGTCCCCAAACTGTGAACACGTGTGGGGCGCCTTCTCCTCTGCCTTCAATCACGTCCTTCCTTTCCTATCTTACCCCCAATTTTTTTTCATTGAAAAGTCTTTTCGTGTTCTCTCTCAACAGACTTGGCTGCCGACAACTAAACTGGGTTTAGATGAGTAATTTATTTTATGGCAGGTTGTATGAAGGTAGTAAAAAAAGAGGCTGCCTGGCTCTTCTGCTGATTTACTAAATCACTTGATCTCTTTCGGTCCAAATCACACCCCCACCCCCTGCAAATGGTCACGATGTTTTAATAAAAAGCAGCCTCTCGCAGATCTGAGCCTCCTCCATCCTACCAGAACACCTGCTTCTCTGAATCCCTGAGACAGCTTGTGAAAAGAACCTCACCCTTGTTTCTACCAGGACAGAGTCCTCATCCCCCGGAACAAATAGATCTCAGTTTGGGGAGATGGTCAGCCCTCATCCAGAGGAAAGGTCTTAAGACGCCACCCTAGAGGGGCTGGATTTGCTTGGCTTAGGTTATTTTGGAAATGAAACTTGAGGCTGATCGAATATTACAAAGTCAATGAGTGTAAAACCACAAACTCACAGAAATCTAAAATTAGAAATGAAGAAGGAAATGCTTTTCCATGAATTAAAATTTGGCAGTTTGGGAATGAGAGTGAAAATTATATTCTGTTATAATTAATTTTTTTAGCGTTTTGAAATTTCTTTCATTATGGTAAAATATACATAACATGAAATTGACCATTTTAACTATTTTTTTTTTAAAACAATCTCAAGTCCCCGAGCTGCACCACTCATTATTCAGAGTAATTCACTTGCAGGTCTGGATCCTGTCTGTGAGCCTGTGGGCCGTCCCATCCCGCAGCCACGGGGGGTGGTGGGTATCTCCCATTTTAACTGTTTTTAAGTGAACAGTTCAGTGGCATTAAGTACCTTAAGTACATTCACATTCTTCAACCGTCACCACCACCCATCTCAAAAACCCTTTCATCTTCCCCAAATGAAACTCTACCCATTAATCACTAACTCCCTGCCCCCCCTTGGTCTACTTTCTGCCTCCGTCTTTTGGGTCATTCTAGGCACCTCATGAATGGCGTGCAGTTAATTTTGAGAAGAAAGCAAATCTCTCCTTGCATCTTCTCCGCCTCCCATTCCTCTCTTTTCCCCACCCTGTGCCCATTCCTCAGATGCCATATTGCAAGTAATTTGAGACGTTATTGGTGAAGGGACACCACTAAGGTTTGGGCTTTCTTCCCTGTTGTTTCTAATTTCTTCTTCGGGTTGCTATGAACGCCCCCCTCTCCTTGTGTCTTGCTGCAGTTTTGAGTATCCGGGGAGCCCAGGAAGAGGAGCCGACAGACCCCCAGCTGATGCGACTGGACAACATGCTGTTGGCGGAGGGGGTGGCGGGGCCCGAGAAGGGCGGCGGCTCGGCGGCGGCGGCCGCGGCGGCGGCGGCCTCCGGAGGCGCGGGGTCCGACAACTCCGTGGAGCATTCCGATTACAGAGCCAAACTGTCCCAGATCAGACAGATCTACCACACGGAGCTGGAGAAATACGAGCAGGTAACCGCGGCCTCGCGGGTCTCGAGTCTTCGGGGAAGGGCGGAGGAAGCACGGCCCCCGGGCTGCGCAGAGACCGCGGGGCAGCCCTGCCTGGCGGTCGGCGCCTCGGGCCCCACCACGGAGCCGCCTGCCGACTGCAGCCCACCGGGTCCCTGGTCCCCACCGCGGAGAAGCCCGGCCGCCTGGAGATCAAGGCATTAAAAACACTGAAGCTGCAAACGATGATTTCAGGAAATACTAAGAGTCAGTAAAGGGGGCATTCAGTCCCTGGAGCTCCGGGGCGTTTGCTCATGCCGTGCAGCCCAGGGGCTCCGCCAGGTGATGTCGGTCATGGGCAGAGTCACCCCCTGGTGTGGGGGTGGGGGGCAAGGAGGCAGTTCCTCTGGCCCTTGTTTGCTTGTTACTTAGGAAGACCCCTCATTATCCTGGTGCTCATGGAAGCCTATGGGAATGGATGCTAAAACTTGGCCTTAATGTCCCTTGCTTTACCCAGATTCAGTTCTCATGGGAGTCAAACATGTTCAGCTTCCAATATGATACACACTTCAAGCCATAAAAAGAGCGGGGGGTCTCAGTGGACCCCTGGAGTCAGACAAAGTTGTATTCCAACCCTGACTCTCCACTGATGGTCAGTGGGATCTAGTGGTCCACACACTCTACCCCCAAAGCTGGTGGTATTTGGCAAAGAGCTGTGGATTTGGAGTCTAGGATATCACTGAGTCATAAAAATCGTATGAAGGAAAGGCTTTAAGTCATGAAACAGTGTGTAAATACATAAATGTTGTACGGGATTCTAATTACAACAGTGCTCATCTCTACTGGAGACCCTCCCCCCCACCACACCCACATACATGAATTTAAGTATCAATTTTGTTTCCTCTGGTCAGTGTGAGCAGCACTATTTCATTAGGAGTCTCTTAAAGTCAGCCTTTCCTCCCATCATTTAGCTGACAGATATGTTTGTTGTCATCTCTTTGGATGCAACATTGTCCTGAAGTCCTAAGTTAACTTCCTCTCATTGAACTGTTAGGTTTCTAGCTTTCTTTTCTAAGAGTCACCAAAGAAAAGGGAGAAATAACAAAAGATAGACGATCCTCTGCAGTCCACTTCTGACTGTCTAGGTAGAAGGCAAATGCAAACTTAATAGAAAATTTAAATTTTAAAATAGAAATAGGCATTTTAAAATTTAAAGTGAAGAAAGTTTCATTATTGCACTCCTGTCCACCTTTGAAATGGATTTCAACAAAGTCCCTTCTTTTATGAGTGGGAAAAAAAAAATGCGGTGATGCCTGGAGCCAAGCATGGTGAATTTCAGCCCTCACGCGGGTGTAGGCAAACATCTGTGGTAAGAGCTTGTGAATCATCACCCTCCACCTTCTCAGGAAAGAACACATCTTCTTATCACGGTGTAGTCTCGTGTACATATTTCCCCCGTTCCCGGGAGAGGCTGAGCTCAGATCAGCCAGCTGGTCCATGACAGTCCCCTGCCCCACCCACCCACTTCAGACCATCACGTTAGTGCTCAGAGTCTGCCCTGACCAATGGGATGACTCGGGAAGACACATGGGGACATTTCTTCTAAAGGTCTCTAGCTGGCCTCTTGGGTTCTCCCTCCTCTGTGCTTTTCCTATTTCACCTTGATCTCTGGCATAACAGTCCATCTAGACCTGTCATCCAGGTTAACTCATGCCAAACTCCAGGGACACAAGAAGAGTGTGGCTTCCCTACCCAAATTCCTAACTGGAATGGAGGTTAGGCTGGACGGTGTTAAAAACTGGCATTAGTCTTAGCTCAGGTTGCCGGCTATATAGAAGAATGGACTATTTTCTTGATGTAACCCCCCTTGTCACTCTTCCATCCTCATTCAAAACGAGTTAAAAAAATGGCCAGCATAACGGCACTTGCTCCTCAAGGTAATTTTATGATTGGGTCCCCTAAAATTTGTCATCGTCTCCATAAAGTCATCGTCTCCGTATTCATACAGGCGAGGAAATGGAGGTTAGAGAGGTTCGGTGATGTATTTGGGTCACATCTATCCAAAGAGGGATAGAGTTTGCCCTGGAATGCAGTTTTTGACCCTTAGCCCAAAGGCTCTTATTGGAACAACATGCAGTTCTGCTTGATGTGAGGAGGGCGTGGACTTCTGTGGACAGTGAAGTGACCAGCTCGTCCTCTCTCTTACTTCCGTGTACTAGACTGATGCTACGAGAGGCTCGGGATAAAAATACTCTCCTTCAGAAACTTCTTATGAATATCCATTTCATCTAAATAATAAAGCTCTTGGAAATAGGGAACTTAGGGAAAAACTCCATCAGTACAGAGCAAATTAGGCGAATGTAGAGCATAGTAATATTTATTCTTCTTAAAAAGTTCCTTATTTCTATGGATATTTTCTGGGTAAGAACTGAATTGTATTTACGGGTATTGGGTATTACTGCTTAATACACTCTGTGTGCTTAATAATTTATTAATATTAGTTGTATTGTTAATTAGAGTAACGAGCAGATTGTGGGGAAATTATGCCATTAACCTTCCAGCTAGTATGTCTGAGACATAGATCTTCTTTGTTTTGTCTGTAACCATTCCTCCTGGGAACTTTTTTTTTTTTTTTAAATAAGAAACCTTAGTAAAGTAAAAATGTCACTGTCTGTTTTAATAGCACCTAGGTGAAGTTACCAAATCGACTATTTAAAAGCTGGGTTTGTTTTGCTGTGTTTTTGGTTTGGTGCTGGCGGGTAACCAGAGGATCAGTTAGCTTTCCAGTAATTAGCTGCCGTAGTCCTCCTCACCCCCTAGCCCTCCCCAAAATAAACTACCTGAATCAGGCATTGTTTCGCCCTGAGGTTATTAGATAAAGTAGGTTTCGAGAGACTTTCATTAGAAAGAAAGGAAGGAAATTGTTGTCTTTCATTAAATGAGGCTGGTAAAACACTTTTCCAGCAGACCACGCTGGTAGCTAAGGTATTTAAAAGCTGGCATTTTCTAATAGATAAAACGATGATGTCAGAAAGCTGAATTTTGTTCCAAGTGCTATTCAAAAAAAAAAAATGATGTTCTGGAAGCTTTGCAGAGTTCTTCAGTTTTTGTAAATAATGCTGGCAGGGCCTTGGCAGGGCTCAGTGTCTAGGACTGAACCAGGTGGGTTAGGTCCATTTTAAGCTAAGAGGGTCCTAGAATCCCAGTTGTTGAGATGGGCGGCCAGATCCAGTTTGAAGGAATTAGAGAGGAAGACGGGCTGAAGAGGGTGCCGGAAGGAAGCTTAAACTCTAGGATCAAATGACATCAACTCAAGCAAGATTTTCTAAGAGAGCATCTCGTAGGCAGCTGCTCCCAGAAGTGCCCTTCGCCCTGGCACCTGGGACAGCTCCTTTCAGAACGCGTCCACTCTCTGGGGGCAGCTGGAGGGGTCGCTCTAGAAGGGTGACTGCTTTGAGGACAGTCTGCAGCAGTGTCTCCTCGGGCACGGAAACCCTCAGCCCACGAGGGTGCTGTTTCATTCACGATCGCGACCCCCACCCTTCCCGTTACATCGGGAGGGCCTGACCTCCTGGAGAGGTGCCGAGCTTGGGGGAGCTGAGGAGGAGGCATGGGTGGCTCAGGTCCTGGAGAAATCTGGACCCTTCTGTCCTGTCTGTCTAAAATGGACTTGGAACTCCTCTCTGCTGTCTGTTGTGTGTTCCCAAGCAGCTGTTCAGCAGCTGCCCTGCTCCACCTCAGCAGTGGGTGGAAAGACAGCCCTGTCTGTTTCTGGCAGGACAGAAAGGGGGCCCGGGATCGAATGCCCTGGATAAACATCAGATATTGCGAGCATTTTTATTCACCTCAATAAAGCATGTTCTTACGAGCCTAGCTCTGTGCTTCCCTGTGGAGAGCAAGTCCACTGGGCAATTCCTCCTTCATATCCAGCCCCCCCCCTTTAAGCCCCTACCAAGTGGGGAGGCTGCAGCCCAGAGTGGGGTGCAGTGTTTCCCCACAAAGCAGATTGGGACGCTTGCAACCGGCCTCACCCTCCACTTCCCACCCCGCGGTTTCAAAGAATCCCAGCCAACTCGCTGCCTGGTTTTATTTCCCTCCCTTTGTTATACAGATTGGTTGGGGTGGGGAGGGGTAGCAGTTGAGTTTGGGGAGGGAAGATGCTTGTAAAAGGATCTTGTGTTTAGATAGTAATTTTCTTAGTGCTAATGCTCCATGGACCTGATCTTCCGTGGACTTGTCTTTGGTACCTGCCTGCAGAGTAGAAGGTATTTGAGACCCCCTTTCTTTTCGCCACGAGGGACACTGAAACCTGGACAAGTTGGCCCAATCTTGATCACATGCTGGGTTTCTAAGTTATCTACATATTGAAGAGGTAATAAGGACACACTTTACATGACCAGACACATAGGTAGTAACTCATGTAATTCTCACCACACCCTTGAAGGTGGGTACTGTCGTCCCCATTTCACACATAAGAAAGACGAGATTCAGGGATCTTGTGTAATTAACCAAGGTCGTGCAGCTAAGCGAGTTCTGGAGCCAGGATCTGAATGCAGGCAATCTGTGGTCTTGCCCCACTGCTTTGTTCATGTGAGTGATTTACTCCATCCGCAGGTCACTGCACAAGAGCATGGGGACCGCAGCCTTGCTGACGGGTGAGGAATGATTAAATCCACTCTCGGATGAGTAAAATGGAACACTGATTAGTGAAAGGATTTGCCCACATTCTCACGGAGGCGCGGTTGAAAACCAGGCTTCCCAGCTCCCATGCTGACAGCCCCGGTGGATGTGTCTGCCTGTGTGTCTTTGGCCAACCAACCTGGCAGGATTCTCTGGAGAAATGAAGAGTAAATGTGTTACTGTTACTGTGTAACTGACAGATACGAAGGGCTTTGTGCTGGGAAAGCCATGGCACCGCAGCGCTGTCATTAGTGAGCGTGTTTCTGCTATTAATACTGAGCTGGCCCCTTGAAGTCCTCAGCTCTTCGACTCTTAAAGCATCAACTTGCCTTTTGTTACAAATCTTAGACAGTCTTACAACATTGCTTTGAGTTCACCTGGGAACAGATACTTTATTGAAGGCTCACTAAGAAACCCAGAGCACAGGTGATAAGTAATAGTAACTCAGAGACGGGCAGCGATGTTCAGAGGAGCAAGCTCAGAGTCTGGGAAAGTCAGACGCCCCAGCCTGGAGTAGGGAGAGGCCGGGTCCTGCCTCGGCCACTGGTTTTGCTGTGTGCCTTCATCTCTCGGGGCCTCGGTTTTCCCAGCTGTAAAATAAGGAGGTGGGGAAAATGATGTCCAGTTTCCCTTCCGGCGCTGGTGGTAGGTTGGGCTGTAACCTGAGAGATTTCCTTTCTACAGGGATAACTCCTGATCCTCTCAGTCACATTTGATGCTGTTTCTATACGGATTCCCTTTGTCTTGTAGACACGGTGGATTTTCAGAAGGCCGCCCTAGGGGCTGCTAGGAGAGAGTTGGTAGAATAAAACTAGAGGTGGAAATAGATTTTTGAGAAATCTCCCAGGAAGAGTTTATCAGAGCTTTTAATTCTGTGATCCCACTCTTTGGGCTGCTTGCACATCCCCCAAACTGAATATTTGGGAACCCTAATGTGTCACAGACAATCAGCAAGATAGAAAGTTCTTGCTGTATTTGACCTCAAACTCTCTTTGGCTGTTAACGTTGCAGTAAAGGGTTGTGGAGTGTGTTTTATGCTGGTATCCGTGTTCTCATCTTTCACAGTAGTAAAATCATGAAAAAAATTGGTTTTGAAAAATGATTAAGAATTCTCTTTTCCCTTTAAAAAAAAAAATCACATCATGGCCGAAAATTATAGCCCAGCGAGGGATTTCCAGGCAGTCACTGATTTGTTTCTGATTTGACAAAATGCCACAGACTCGCCCCATGTTCTTCCCCTGCCCAAGTCTCCAGAAAAGCCCACACAGCCTCACGTCACGGGCCTGGCGTGTGCTGAGGCCTGGCCCTCACCCCGCCCCGTGTCTGTCCTATTGCCGTTCCAGGCGTGTAACGAGTTCACCACCCACGTGATGAACCTCCTGCGAGAGCAAAGCCGGACCAGGCCCATCTCCCCGAAGGAGATCGAGCGGATGGTCAGCATCATCCACCGCAAGTTCAGCTCCATCCAGATGCAGCTGAAGCAGAGCACGTGTGAGGCCGTCATGATCCTGCGTTCCCGGTTTCTGGATGCGCGGTGAGTCACCACGGCAGGTCTGTCCTCTGGGGGAGTCACTGATCCGGGGTTGGAACCCACGGCTGGACCTCTCCAAGGACTCCCATGTTCAGTGCCGAGCCCCCTGGAAGCCTGAGAAGGGTTCTCAGGTCGGGAAAGGCGGACTGCAAGGGTGGATGAGCTGTTGGGTTTCTCCAGCTCCAAGAAAATGTGTGATGGGGGGAGGAGATACGTTCTTACCGCCACTGCTACTCTGAGGAGAAGCGAGGAAGACTTAGCTACAGTGATGGGGAAGGCAGGACTTTTTGTTTTCATATCATGAGATGCCTCTTTCACAGGTCTGTGTTCTAACTATGGGCCAGTGGAGGTCATACTCAATATGACCGTGACCTATTTTCTCCAAGAAAGACAGTTCAGATTGAGAGTTTCCCATGCTATATGTAGGCAAAGAGTGCACCCAGTTCGATTCAACAATTATTTATAACCAGTTACCTGAGTTTTAGGGATCCAAAATAGTAAGACATGGTCCCTTGGGCACAGAGGGGCAAGGGACTGTCTGATATGGGCCAAATTTTCAATCAAGATTTGATGTTTTCTATCTGACATTAACTTGTGACTTAACTTGTGGTTCAAAGAATTCAGTTGAAACCATGGATAGAAAGGTCCTTTAAGACAAAAACAAGACTACGGAACAGGTAATCAGCTCTTGGTCCCCCTCCTCTCTAGACCAAAGGATTTGTGCAAACCCCTTTGATTTCTTTGGCTTCTGTTAATCCAGCCTGTAACATGGTAATAGTCCCATCTTTCATCTACCCTAGTGGAGCGTGTTGATCATTGATCTAGTAAAGAAGTTCTCAGAGTGTGGGACTCCATCGTGATCTATAGTTCATCTTAAATTAGCCGTCTTCTACAAGTGCACATTTCATCATTATTTCAGTTCCTGAATATAATCCCAATCTGTGATTTCTATTGTTAAAGCATTAGGTAGATATGTCAGGGTGGTCTGCCATTTCACAATCTGGAGTTTTGTCCCTTTTCGATCAGACACACAGATTCTCTGCTCTTTAAACTTTTCCACCCCAAAAATCACGTGTTATTTAGCTCTCTTACCTGAGTATCTCTGTCGCTTCCCAAGTACCGTCTTTACAGTTCACAGACCTCTTTAAAACCCCCTTGGCATCTCCCGAACTCCCTTTTATTCATTGCATTTTGGGTCACGTGGAATATGAAATAGGAATGCCAGGTAGCAGACTGTGTCTCCATAGAGTGAGTCAAGAGAGAGTACAAATGAAGAGAGCTTTTCCCAGCTGAGCGTGGTGAGGAGGAGGAGGGGAAGCCAGAGCACCCCCTCCCCAGAGCGGGACCCCTGTGTGTCTCCCTCCCGCCGTGGCCGGCAGCCGGCCTGGCTTCTTTAAAGCAGACTGCTCCGCACGGTGCGAAGTGCAGGGACTGGTGGCCTGGGTCTGGTCTTTCCCCCGTGCTGTAGCCACCGCCACGCTGCGTGTGTTGCTGACATCCCCATGGTAACGCCCCTCGTTAAAATGCTGGAGTGGGTGTTTATGTTGGCAGATACTGAAAAAAACAAAAAGAAAGAAAGAGAAAAAGAAAAGTTGGGCCCAGACTGGGTTCTTTTCAAGAAAGAAATCAGCGGGAAAGGAGGAGCAGAATGATTTTCTCATAGGATTTCTTCCCCCAGTGACTCTGCCGTGCCCAGCTGAAGGTCAGACTCTAAAAGACACAAAACTCGGCAAGCTTTGTACACAGTTCCTTTCACTTCTACCAGCTTCTGCCTAGACTGTTCCAGTTGGCACCAGAGGACAGTCACTTGAAGAGAGGGTCTCTTTCCTGCTTCAGTTGCAACCTTTGAATCCTTGCCTCTGAGCCAAGATTCAAAACTGAAACAACGAACCTATTGTCATCGTGATTAGCATTTATTTTGAGGGTATGTTCAGTAGGACTGAAAGAATATGACCCCCAAATGCCAACCCGAGGCTGAGCAAATGTTTTTTTTTTCCCAGCTCAAAAATAAATGTTTGCCTGGACCTCTTGATTGAGGTAGTTAATATCGCTCCCAGTGCTGTCTGTAATTGGGAGAAAGAGCTAAACAAACTTTAGTAAGAAAGACATACTCACTACGATGCTCATGTGCTGCTCTAAGCCATGCATGCGATGGGCAGGGCTTCATCAGGAAAAGATTTCATGGAAGACAAATAAAATACAAGGGGGGCTTGATTCAGGAACTGGATTCGTCTTTGGAATGTATTAGGTGTAGAACTGAATGCTACTGCTTTGCTGTGTAACATTCCTTATATTTTCTGTTGCTGCGTAACACATTTCCACAAAGTTCACAGCTCAGAACAACACAAAGTTATTATAGCACAGTTTCTGTCATTCAGGAGTCCAGGTCTTTTGCTCCAGTCTCACAAAGCTGTCATCTCAGGGTCACCTGAAGCCGTGAGCTCATCTAAGGCTCATTCCAGTCGTGGGCAGAATTCAGTTCCTTGTGATTGTAGGACTGAGGTTCCCAGCTCTTAGCAGTTGCCCTCCTCATAGAGAGCATGCAACTTGGCTGCTTGCTTTCTTCCTGGAGAATGTCACCATTTTAAGGCTTTCACCTAATCTCCCATTTCATTAATGCAAAGTCAGCTGATTAGTAACTTAATCACAGGAATGATATCCTGTCATATCACAGTGCCCCACAACACACACTCAAGGGGAGGGGATGTCCCCCAGGGTAGAACCTTGCAGACCTTCTTAGGTTTCTGCCTTCCACACTCCTCACCCAGCACCTGGCCCAGGTTTTGTCCACTCAAGTCATATCCTTTTTCTCTTCCTTACATTGACTTCACTGTGCCAGAAAAGTTTACCTTAAAAATTCTACTCATTCATTCATTCATTCATTCAACATTTATTATTTCATTCTGTATACCAAGCATTGTGCTGTAAAACTTGGTAAGGTTATTGTCAAGACCATAAATATGTTTCTCTTAGTTGAAAGAGAGAGAACTTGTAGACCCTTTTAATGATTTTCAAGCAATACAGTAATTTTAACTTCTTTTTTTTTCCTCTGATAACACCTTGCTGGAAATAACAATAAGAACCTAAACACATGGTTGGAAGTACTTCACCCTGGTAGATGGGGTTACATGATTGGTAAAGAGCATGGCAAGGGGGGGACATGCAGTACAGTCTGGTCAAACCGGCACTCTACTGAGATTTGTTTACTTCTGATTGAGTTGTTACTCTCTTCCAACTGCTATATTAGCCACTGGAATTACAAAGATGAAAAAAATGCTTATAAATGTGAGTCCCACCTTCAAGAGCTCATAATCTCCTGGGACAGTTGCTCTGGACCGAACTTAAAACTGCGCATGAGTGCGTGAAACTGGTCAGCCAGGTTCCCCTGAAGGGGAGAGAGAACCAGGGGGAGGCAGACGGTGATGGCTGTCAGAGGTGTGTGATGTTTCACAAATGGAAGGAATCACAGAAGCAAAGTCAGACAACATAATTCAACTTCAACAAGCGTTACTGACTTGAATGCTTGCTACATGTTAGGCACCAGGGTTTCAAATACATGTGAACATGGCTGGCTCCTCCCCTTGAGGGATTTGCGGTTTAGCTGGGGAGACATATGTGAACTTGTGACAAATGCTGTGGGAGAGGAAGATGCAGGGTGGTGTGAAGAGGCACGGGAGCATGAACGCCGCGAGTGTCTTTGGGGAACGGAGAAGCATATGATGTCGCTCGAGGAAATTCTGTAGAGCATGTGTGGGACTGGGGGCAAATGAGGCACTGGGGGATGGAATGGATCCCCCGAAAGACCTTCACTGTCCCAGGGAAGATTCAGAGTTGTCCTGTTGAGCAGCAGAAACCCTCCGAGCTGTTTAAGGAGCAGATGTAGCCATTCACAGGCTAAGTTCTCAAACTGCACCACTTGGATTTACATTCTTGCTATGACCCTGACTGTCTTTGTGACCTGGAATAAGTGGCTTACCTTCCCTAAGACTCAGTTTTTGTGTCTCTAAAATGGGGATAATTCTATACACAGGAATAAATATGGTATCTGTATATAAAAAATAGATTTTAAAAGTTTCTGCTATATAGCACAGGGACCTATGTTCAACATCTTGTAATAACCTTTAATGAAAAAGAATATGAAAACAAATATATGTATGTATAAGCATGACTGGGACACTGTGCTGTGCACCAGAAATTGACAACATTGTGACTGACTGTACTTCAGTAAGAAAAAAAAAAGGATAATGTCTGGAACATAGAATTCATACAATAATTCAGCTATAATATCATAAGGATCACTATATTATACAATTATTATTATTATTATTATCATCATCATCATGATCAGATCCATGGCGTGGAGGAATTACTCCAGTGATTTTCTTGAAGATGAGCTGAATTAGAGAGAGATTGGGGAGGGGACCACTTTCGAGGCTTATGCTTCTGAAACAGGGGGACTGCAAAATAAGTATGAAATACTTTCCCCATTTTTTTGTTTCTGTTTTTATTTTTGAGTCTTCCCTTTCCCATTTTACTCAACTATTTGGAGGGAAAATTTCTTAAGATACAGATTGGTATATAATGGAGTAGCCTAAAGCAGGACGTTGTGAAGACATTTCGCGCCTTTGACAGCGTGCCCGGGGCTGTGAGTCCGCGCTCTCCTTCCAGGAGGGCTGCTTGGGCACTGTTTCGGGAAAGCATCAATGTAGAATTGTGCTGTCTAACACGTGGCTTGTTGATTTTAAATTTAATGCATTAAGACCAAAATGAATAAAGATTTTAAAGTTTAGTTCTTGAGTTAACACTAGCCGTGTTTCACCACGCAGTAGCCGTGTGCAGCTAATAGCTCCTGTATTGGAGAACAGAGAGAGCATTTCTTTTCCTCTCTGAAGAAAATGCTTTCAGACAGCACTAGCAAGACCTTTTGATGACAGAGACAGTGGCTCCTCTAAACCCGTTTCAAAAATAGCAATGACACTAAGGGTGGAACAGAAGAGACAGACATGAAATATAGAACTGGGGAGGCTTGCTCCAGAGCCAACCATCTGATGAAGACAAGAGAGCAAGGGGGGTTGAGAATCCCTCCCAGATTCTAACACAAGCTAGACACGCAAATACTTGAACGAGTGAACGAACAAATTAGCGAATGCAAGGGACCGTGTGTCTCTGGTGATGTCATTATATGAGGTGGGTCACAAAGAAAATGGAGCTGATTTGGGTGAAACGTGGCAACTAGAAACACAGAGTTTGAGGTGACTGGGGTACGCAGCGGTAAGTGTGGCGATGGCTCTGGAGGGAGGCATTTGGGAAGAGACAATGCATTTGGTTGGTTAACAACATACACCTGCAGTGCCGACCCTTCTCACTCTGGAATCACGGTGATTCGAAAGATTCCGTCCCTAAAGTTTAATCAACTGCCACATTTCTTAAATCTACCGGATACCCGACTATTCAAGCTTTCGGTTGGCTTGAAATAACAAATGTTAACACACTGAGCTGAAAACACGTCCAGCCAAAGCAAAGAAACCCGGTGTCTTAGTTCAAGTCACCTTATTGTCAGAAGTGTGTTCTTTTCACTGGGTCTCTTGAAATTCTGCAAAAGCCTGATTCTGAGGTTTCAAAGGCCCTGGATTGAGACAGTCACTGAAAGAGGTGACAAGTGTGTCGCTCAGAGTACAAGAGACCACCTACGGGAAGACTGCACGCTGCAGGGAGGAGAGAGTGGGAACAGCTGTCTGCGCCATCCCCGGACCCCAGCTCATTCCGGAGAGGCTTACTTTGAGCTCAGTTGGAAGTGTCCCAAAAAATACACAGTAACGCTCACGCAAACAGCAAAGGAACGAACGGACTCTCCCAATTAGGGAAGCCTTCAGGGTCCAGTCCCCCAGGCCTAAGACAACTGTTTGCTTTAGGCAAAGAGGAAACCGGAGGTTATCCAAGACTAGCCTGGAGACTGTTAGCCGCTTGGCTCTCTTGCTCCCGTTCCCATCATGCAAGAGCTTTTAATGCATGCCTCCTTTTTAGTTGGACCTTTTAATCCAATCTGCCCAATTTCTGTTGCTGGGTGACCCAGAAACTCAGCATGATTTGGGAGAGTGACTTGGGCTTGGCATAATCTGGACAGATGTGGTTAATACCTACGGACAGATGGTGTTCATCCGGTAAAATCAGGCACTTTATTGTGTTAATTAATCCAAGTGGGACCCTGAAAATACAATATTAGCTGAATTTCCTGTCTAGCAAGTCAATCTGTGCTTTCTGTTGGCTTAAATTGAAAAATTCTCTATCCTGGCCTAACTGGGGATGTTCTGGATTTTTTTCCCCAATAAGGAAAAGCTTTTGTTAAAAGCAAGAAAGGCAAAAGTGTTAATGGAGCTAATTTAAAGATAGATGGCCCACCTCCTCAAGGAGGTGCATGTTGCATCTGCAAGGAGCCCCCATCCCTAAGCGTCCCTATGTGATCCTCAGGCCTTAACTGGGAGGAGGCCATACAGTGACTCACACTCTAAATTAGTTCAATTAGCACTTTTTTTTTTAAGGCAGAAGCATGCTTTTATTCAAAAAGTGGGTTTCTTCTCTTTTGCACCCTATAGATGAAATCAATTTCTCTGGGCTTACGTTTTAGCACTTAGCAGCTGTTCCTCCTTAAGAAGGACCGCTTCTTTCCTTTCGAGGGAGGTCAGGCAGTCCGGGGGTTAACTTCTGTCCATCCCCTGACTCTTCCCCACACCTTTTAAAAACATTGCATGCACTTATATGGGGATAGAATGGAGGGAAGATAACTTATTTTTAACTTAACGGTTCCAGAGTCTTGGTATCATTGCCAGAAGGTGATCTGTATATAAAAAAGAGGCTGGGTTTTGTAGTCAAGCAGACCTGAATTAATATTTGGGCTCTATTACGTGCTAGTTAAGTGATCTTTGAACTCAGTTCTTCATTGGTAACTGGGGAAAACCCTATCTATCTTACCAGTTGTGGAAAATGAATAACTTGGATTGATGGCCATGCACCTGCTAGGAAGAAACACTGTCCCCAACAAGCCTTAGCGTTTGTCATGGACCAGTCGCTGTGCTGAGTCCTTCCTGTGTGTGGCCTCATTTCTCCCTAACTCTCACCCTCTGAGGTCAGTATGACTCTTCCAACTTTGATTTGAAGAAGCTGAGTTTCGGAGAGGCAGCCCACATCACCCAGCTGGTATTCAGGTGGTCCAGGGTTTAAAACCAAGACGGCTGGATCCTGAAACCTCACGCTTCTCACAAAGCATCCTTATATACCACTCTGCGTAAATCCGTGTGCCTGCTCTCTGTTTAGCGGCCCCAACAGTGCACAGTGAAGTGTGTCACAAACACTTTCAGTGGTGCTTTCAGCATCCAGCCCTTTGGCGCAAATCTCCTCTTGCTCACTTTTTCCGCTCAAAAATGGGTCTTCTCCCAGAAGCAGACCCTCTTCTGGCCCTTTTTATATGCGTCTGGTGTGAACTTTCCTTTTTTTCGTTACCGCTGTTGTTTCCTTTCCCTTTATGAAGGCGGAAGAGACGGAATTTCAACAAGCAAGCCACGGAAATCCTGAATGAATATTTCTATTCCCATCTCAGCAACCCTTACCCCAGTGAGGAAGCCAAAGAGGAGTTAGCCAAGAAGTGTGGCATCACAGTGTCCCAGGTAAGGAGCCCTCAGAGGCTCAGCCTGTAGCCTGGTCGTGGGGGGGGTTGCAAGGAAGGGTCTTGGAGGTCCTGCTTTACTGAACTGTCGTGCCTTGTAAGCTTCGTTCACTAAAGCCTTGACGTGGCAGGGTAATAAGCACGTGATGCCTATAAGGAAGTTTCCAGGTAAGTACCTCGAAAACCTTTAGAGGGGCCGGCAGAAGTAGGAGACTGAGTAGAGCACAGTGTGAAAACGGGGAGAGGATTCTTCCCTCTGAGTTCTTTGTTGCTTCAAATGAGTGAAAGTTCCTACATGTACTTGGGAAGTCCCCCCTTTTTTTGCCCACCCCAGGAACTTTTTAAGAGTCAGTGAACAGAACTTTCAAATGAAAGGAATTCAGATATCCTCTCTTGGGGTACTCACTCTGTAACTGATGGAGTGTAGGAATTTTAACATGTCACGATGATGGCATTGGAATGATTGCACAAAATGTCACTGAGTGCCCCCTTCCCCCATAGAGCAATAACCATAACAGGTGCCTACTGACGTGGAAAGATACATGACATAGAATTTTTATAGACCCGGAGTCCTCAACATTAATATGGAGTAGAAAAGTAGGCAAGTTTTATATGTATCTACAGTTTGTCTACTCAAAGGATCCATCGAAACTTCTTCCTCAGTCTGAACTGCAGACACCACCCTACTCGTCTCTAGTGGAGACCAGTAGGAATAGTTCTGAAATCTCTCAGAGAAGGGTTTCCTCAAAATTACGTCACCTACAAGAGCATCAGAGGTACTGGTGTTTTCATAAAAGGGGAGAGGGGAAGTTGGGGAGAAGGGGATTACTTTAGTGAGAAACTTCACTTAACATTTTCCAAACGATGTAGACCCTGTTTTGTATAAACTGAGCCTCTCGGCTTCCTTGAACTGAGTCCTGGCTGCTCCTCCTCCCCGCCGGGTGCTGAGCACATCAACCTGTGTTTAGCTAAGCAGAATTAGGTCTAGTCGGAATCAAGGACTCCCCACAGGGGAGCTACAATGAAGAGATTGCCAGGGTCTCCCCGGCAAGCTGTCAGCGGTTTTGCAGCAGCCTTGGAAACCCTTTTGGATAAGGCAGAAATCAACCCCCTTTCAGCCTGGACCTTCCGCAGGTGTTTGGACCCAGCTGGAGGTCATTTCCAGCCTTGGCAACCCTGGGAAAGCAGAACATCAGTGGTCAAATTCAGGCAGCCTGGTTTTATCTCGGTTTGTAGCCATTCTTATCTAAATCTAGACCCTTTGTCCCCAGGAAAAGAGAATTAATGGGTTTTTTTGACCCTTGCTGCACTATTTGAGGGATGGTTCCAGGTGTGAACCACATCAGTGACCCACAAACAGTGAATTTCAGGCATGAAATCTTCTCCTAAAGTAAAGTTAAATCACCATATTGTTTGAGTTCAAAGTCTGGGATTGAGAATTGCAAATCCTTATTGACAAAAGAATGAACTTCTTAGGATCTAGTCTGTATTGTATCTGAATAAAAAATGGAATCCTGGCCTGTTGCAGCAACTTTCACTTCCTTCATTATGGAAGCTCAAGATGCAAACAGTGTGTCCATTAAAATGATTATTTCCGTGTACTGTATCCCATTTCTCTTTCCTCCGTCCCTCCCAAGCCCATACCCTTTTTCCTTCCCCATCACTTCGCTTCCCCCCACTTCCTTAACGCTGTTCTCTCTGGAGTTCCTTCTTCCTCTTGGACCACTCCTGTTCCGTCTTCCCAGAGGATCTCTCCTTTCTACCTGTGCCTCTCTTTACCCCTCATCTCGTCATGTCCCAGCCCACAGTTCTTAACCACTTTTGGAAATCACACATTCTTCTTTACTGTTGAGGCCTCTGTGATCCAAAAACAAAGATACGCTCGTATACTGAAACCCATCTAGTTACCATCCTCTCGTCGGATCCTTGAATAGCCCTTCCTCTGTGCGAGTGCTGCCTGTAAGTGTAGCATCCGCAACACCCGAGAACTTGTTCGAAATGTAAACTCTTGGGTCTCTCCCCAGTCCTGAATCTGCATCTCTGGTGGGAGGGAGCAGAAGGCTAGAGATCTGTTTTAATAAGCCGTCCGTGCACACTTGACTCTGAAAAGCACGGTTCTACAGTCTTAACCCGAGTGATCCCCTCCGTGCTCACAGCTGCAAACTTGGTTCCATTTGAATATCCGGATGAGCCTTCTCTCCCGGAACACCAAATGCATGTGTCTTACTTCTCACTGGACCTCACCGTGGCCCTGCCCAACCAGCTCTTCAAACTTAACATGTTCAGAATGTGAATCAAACTTCCCACCAGGGAATCAATCATTCGTTGTGTGTTTCTTGTCTCTGTGTCAGCCGTCTTTGTATCCCTGGTGCGTAGCACATGGGGGACCCTCGTCAATGACTGTTGGACAGTGAGTTGATGAATGAAAACGCCAATTCTGTTGTGTTCAGGGCAGGTGACATCCCCCTAGTGGACAAGGCAGGAAATGCCTGAAGGGACCCAGGATCTTCCCTATGGGAGCATCTATTCTCCTGTAGTAGGGAGTCGTCCACGTGTCCCTTCTCCACCCTCTTCCTCCTCACCTTTCTCTCACGTCGCTGATTTAATTAGACCGCCAGCATTTCCTTTTTTCCTCTAAAGTCATCCCAAACCACCTTCATCTTTCCCCCTTTCTTCCAGCTCACCCAGCTACCTCAGAAGACATCTCCCTGCCTCCTTCCTCTCGTCTTCACTTACAACTCAAAAAACCACCACGATTAGGATTGATTCATATGAATAGTACAAGTTACATCAAGAAAGACATGCGTTTTGGAGTTTTAGAGTGAAATTAGAGATATGGTCCTTGAAAGGACCCAGAAGTGCCCTTCTAATTTAACCGCCTTTCTGTAGGCACCCATATTTACAATAAATAAAGCATTTTCTCATGAATTTTTTCTCTCTTGTTTACAAATATTGCAACGGTATGGTTTGATTTGTATAACAAAGGCTTGGCATTTCTGCTGTAATACAAGCTGTATATGGTCTGTGGGGGATAGCCTTGTAAGATTTTTTTTTTAATTTAACTAATGCACTTAAAAAAGTAGTATAGTTTGCAAGAATTTTCTTTATCTGCCATTGTTGGGGTAAATTAAGTTACATGTGGTACATGTGTTGCCAACTTCTCCTTTCCTCACCAAATTCATGGTTTGTTTTGTAATTGTATAAAACCACAACATTTTCCCTTGAAATCACATCTGTAATATGGGGTGTAAAACTGTCCTCCCTCAGAGTGAAATTATGGGAGTAAAATTTGAGTTTCACTTGTGTCTAGAAGAGGTCTTGGTATAAAGGGAACAGGGACACAGAATCAAGCCAGGACAGCCACTGTGAGCCACATGAAGGAATTAAATTAACCAATGAAAGTAAATTGGGTTTATTTTGTGTCTTGGTGTTAACATTTAAAGCCTGGAATTCAAAGGAATAATCATTGGCATGCTTCAGTCTTTCCTTATGTAAATAACACCAAGCTTTGCACAAAATACTTAGTGAAATCTATTAGGTTGAATTATATTGATCCAAAGGTCTATAGGACAGGGCAGCTAAGAATCCCGTCCACATTAAAGTTATTTAACTAATAAAAATTTGAAATTAATCCTTCCATGAAAGCACCCATATGTTGACATAGATTTATATGGATGTTTCAAGGTCTGTATATTTTGACTGCCCAAAGTCAGCGTTAGCATTGATAAGTAACTACAGGCATTTCTCCCGGTGTTTAGAAAATGCTGTGTTTATTTGAGTGTCATCTACATAAGAGGTAAGCAAATTGAAACTGCTTGCCCTAAACTAAAAGGGTCCTAGTTAAGTGAGCAGCTCTTCCATAGAAAAATTTGTATCACAGCAGTTTTGCTACATTGTGTTATTATTAAGCATGAGAATCTCATTTTATGTCGTTCCTCCCCTCAGAGCTCTCACTTCAGGTCTTTTAAGTGATGTTGCGAAATCAGAGATGGGTTAAGAACAATTAGCCTACCTCTTCAACCCTCTCCTAAGCACTTCCTTTTCTTCAGTGATGTTTGTGTAGAATGAAATGGTAATTTTCTCATCTTCTTTTACACCGTTCTAGGTATCAAACTGGTTTGGAAATAAGCGAATCCGGTACAAGAAGAACATAGGTAAATTTCAAGAGGAAGCCAATATTTATGCTGCCAAAACGGCTGTCACTGCTACCAATGTGTCAGCCCACGGAAGCCAAGCTAACTCACCCTCAACTCCCAACTCAGCTGGTTAGTTTTTTTCTTTGATTTGGGGGAACTGTTGTCCATTTTTTATACTTGCTTTTCCTACATTGGGGTTTTTCTTTTAATTCCTTAGATTACTGATTGATTTATGCATTTGATTGTCTTTTTCTTTTTTAATTGATACCACTTTGGGTTTTTCTTTTTATTTCCAAAAAGCATTGTGTTCTGCTGTTTATAAGCTGGGCTTGTCAGAGGGTTTGCCCTAATGTGTCTCTTTAAGTTGGACAGAGGTAAACTGCTTGGTTTTGATGAGGAGACCTCTACATTCTCCTTTCAGAGATGCCAATAAGTAAACTTGACCTACTACTTAGAGACAGTCTCTTGGGGTTCTAGCAGTTGGTCTGTTTCCTGTAAAGTTGTTATCCTGTCTGTTTCGCTGTTCCCATCACGTGATGTCTGGGTCATCTCCTGGCATGCATTCTGCGCAGGAATAGTCACTCTTCTGTACATATCTCATTAGAATGGTCTGCAAAGCCGACTACCATTATTGTTGTTCATTGTTTATAGTTGTTGTTCTTTACTGTTTTATTGTGTTGGTTTTCTTTATGGAAATGACAATGAAAATTGCCATTCACGAATTCCGATTATTCGGATTCTGGTTTTCCTGTCACAGCATCAGTTATGTGCTATGCCCTTGGGTTTTAGTGAATATGTATTGTACCACTAATTTCAGAGTTGGGGCTAACATAGTATATTTTGGGGTGTTCTTGTACCATCCGTTCATAATTTCCACATGTGAAAAAAAATAGTCAATTACACTTACAGTATAACATTGATGTTGGTACGCTCTGGAAGGCATGTATGTTGGTGCTTTATTTTTTAAGGGGAAACCAGAAATATTTCCTTATTAAATAAGTTTATCAAGTTAAGTATTTATCAAATGAAACTTTATTTTAAAAGTCTCAGATTAAGATATCCCCCCCCCAATGAACCAGATGCGTTGATTTTGGCTGTGGGGTGCATGTCTAAGAAAATTGATGCCTCCAACTTTAAAGGATCACAGATTTAAATATGTTAAATCCCAGTATGATTTAAAAATCCAGTTTCTAACATGTTGGGGGGATGTGATGTCTTTGACCTCACAACAGGTTTGCCACTAAAATACGTTCTCTTTTTACCTTATGGTGGGTTGTTATGGGAGACGTGGAAGGCTCTGCACAGTAAGGTCTTCTGTGAGCTTCTGGATGCACTGATTTGTTATCAGAAGGTTCTCCAAGTCACTCGGCTGTACCATCACAGCCCTCTTTTGTTTAAATGGAATCATGCATGAAAAGTGGCCAGGGCTTTGTAAACTTGGAAGTGCTAAGACAATGTAGAATTCAATCCGGTTTTCTTGTTCCCAGCACTCCAGCACCACGGGGAGCATATTTGCTTTCTGAAGTTTTGTGAGTGTATGTTTCCTTCTTTTCTCATCACGGTCTGATTGACAAAGGATCGAGGCTACCAGGTTCAATAACTACAGAGTTTCCTTCTTCCCCATCTGGTCAATTATTAAGCATCTCAGACCCGGCCACACTAGTAGGATTGCACTGCTAGGCAGACACCTACACTTGTCTCTTTGGAAAAAGTACAGTTCTGTCAACATTAGCAAAAACGCACTCAACATTCCTGCAAAGGTTATCATCATGCAAAACAGATATCAGAAGGACTTCTTTCTCTCCCAGATAGATCTGCATCGCAGATGGCATAGCATGATTTACGGCTCATCCTTAGACGGGCCCCATGGACTCCCGTCGTTACTAAATCCGTAACTTTTTATTCTTTCCTAAAGCACTTAAAAAGAGAAAAGTAAGCATTTTAACCCCCAAGTCTGTGCTTAAGAATTATGTTGGCTCCCTTGGAATGCCAGTCTCTGATTACAGCTTTCTAAGGAATTATTCTGGTGGCTTAAACTTCATGTGACTATTCTGAGCACAAAGTAAATTATTATGGAAAATTTGAGCTAAGCTTTCCAGTTGTGCCTAAGATGTTGGAAATAACATGCAGAGGAACCCCTCTGTAGTGCTTTTTCAGAAATAGAGACAAAAGCAAATGCTGTTTTATCTGTGCAATCGCATGGAATTTTAAACGATCAATGTTTTAACAGCAAAAGTTAGAAATCGGCTTTTCTGTATTTTCTTTGCTCTTAAGACAACCCAAATCATTTCACAGATAAAAGGAGAACTTCAGAATGTTTCAGCTTTTCACATAGGGTATTTATTACAATGCTGTGTGCTGGCTCTTCGATAATTATCCAAAGGATAAATGATCATTGAATTAGCAAGTGTTAAATAAGCAGTAATAAGAAGTTAATAAGTGAAAATACATTTTGGTTGAGTTTGAAGTCTAGAGTTCTGGAACCTGAGGACTTTTTATATCCTCAATAGAGAAGCAGGAGTTTTTTCCAGAAGCTTTGCTAAATATAACTACTCATTTCTACTGCAAGGAAGATACTTTGCAAGTAAATCTTCTTCCTTGTAGAGGCTTTTGTGTGGAGAGCGGTAGTTCAGTATCTTTATTTAGGCCCCTTCTAAATATTTCTGGTTGTTGATACATGCTGGCCTCCTATTTCCTTACACATAATTCATAAAAATCATTTCGGGCTAGAGCCTGTGGGGATTAGCAAGCGTTTGGAGATACGTGGCATGCTTTATATTTTACATCAGCAGAGTTGGGCAAAACAGATGGAGCAAGGAGTGGAAATAGAAGGGAGACAAGAAAATTAAGCTTTGAACAAAAGAAAGCAAAAATGGGGACCAATTAGAGCAACAGTTATAACCCTGGGTTTGTAATTCCTTTAGGGGGACCTATAATGACACCTTCTCAACTTCCTGTTTTTAATGAGATTATGAAAGCAAGAGTAAATATTTCAGAAAAAAAAATAGGGCCTTTTGAGGAAGATTGGATTGTCTTTTGGGAGGGTTGGAGAACATTTTAACATCCAAGAAGAAAGAAATTGGCCTGTGCGTTACAGATACTTGTCGTGAAATCACACCAACGTCGATATTTCATCGGGAGCTGGGATTAGCTAAACAGCCCCTGTTTTGTTTTGTTCTGTCTGGTTTTTGCAGTTCAGAACCCCTAGATTTGAATTCTTTTGCTTAGCTGTGTGTGTGTGTGTGTGTCAAGGACAACAGCAGATTCAGCCGTGACTGGTCAGTTAGTGGCAAGCTCGTTTACAAATTCTTGTTATACTCTTAGTAGGTTTGATGCTATTCTGGATTGGCAGGCAGACGATTATCATATTAAAACCCCCAGATGCTGGCTTCCCAAGAGAAATTTACATGAAGTACGCACATTTAGAGAGGAGGCAAGACATCCAGAGAATCTGACACTTCTAGCAGATCCACAGGAACCCTTATAATTAATTTTTTTTTAAACCAAGTGAAAGAATTTACCCCATTGATGTTTTCTGCTGTGTTCTTTCTTCCTCTGTTTCTCCCCATAATTTCTAAGTGGAAAACACAGCCTCCTGGAGTTGAAACTCCAGAATCTGACCATGCACACCTACTAAAGGGGTTTCACGTTGAACCAGACCACCTTTCCCTCTTGTACTTTGCCCTGAGTAGAAAGTAACAAAGATTTTTGGATTTGAAAGGGAAGAATTGTGGAAAATAGAGATGCGAGTGTGACATAACTAAGCTGACATCGAGCAAAGAGGCTCTGTCTTTGAGCTTCCAAATGGTATGAGAGTCCAGTCTGATCAGGCTGGACACCTAATCTGTGGGGAGCCTTGATTTCTAAACTGCAAAAATGAAGGCACTATTAGCCATCCATCTGCTTTATAAAGATGCTGTGAGTAATAATGAGCTAACGTTTTTAAGCACCTTGAGTCCCTGAGGAAGAAGTACATTCATTCTTGTTCTACGTCGTTGGTTCTCAATCGTGGTAAACTTGCACCCCAGGGGACATTTTTGGTTGTGACAATTGTGGGGGGACGATGCTACTTGGCATCTGCTGGATAGAAGCCAGGGATGTCGCTGACCATCCTACAATACGGAAGACATTCCTCCACCACGAAAAATCATCTGGTCCAAAATGTCAATGGTGCCAACGTCGAGAAAGCCTGCTCTAGGTTTAGATCTCGTCATTAATGTTCTGTTTGGGGGATTTTGAAGTTAACTGAGTTTGGGGTTTTTTCCTGAACACATTTAATTCTCCTGGAGACTCCTTAGAGTAGAAACGAAGTGCTTGAGAAATTATCTTATGAAAATGGAGGTTAACGGATCTCCACATCATCGTGTTTGTGTGGGCAAATGCATTGGCGTCCGTAGGTGATGCGTCATTTCTTCTCTGTCTAGTTGAGGGCAAGTTTAGCTTGGTACACACCACAGGTGTCTGGATTGCAGCTTACGTGAGCCACTTGCCTCCCTTCCCAAGCCAAATTCCGAATCTGTTAACTGGCAAGCACGTCTCAAACTGTGCATCTAGTAATTGCTGATCATAGCTACCTGTAGGTAAGGTTCCCGACTGACCTTCTCAGAAAGCCAGGTCACTCTGTTGTAGTTCTTGGAGAATTCTACAGAGCCTCCAACAGAGCCCATGGGCTACTTCTCTGTGAACCACATCCTACCCAGGAGGTTAGCCAACCCAGGATAAGGTCTTTCCAACTTGCAGTGCCAGATGAGGGGCGTGTCTTCCCCTCATTATTCAGATTTCCATGTGGACTTGTGTCTGCTTTATTGCCGTATTAGTGGCACTCGGGCTCTTCCCTCAGTGCAGTCACTGCCTCTAGATACTTATCAGAGAGTCAGAAGCCAGGCCGTGTTGTACTCGGGTGTAGAGAGACAATGAAAAGCTGAAACAGCACAGCCAAGAGCACAGGGACTCTTCCTACAATTACTGCTCTGATTCAAATGCATTTGTACGTGAAGTACATTGATATGTGCATATTTATCTCTGTGTACAATAGGCAGTCAGACATATTTACAATTTATCTATGCACATATATTTCTTAAATCATCTGTGTCAGTTGCAGTGTATGTCTTGTAAATGGCACATTCCGTGCCTTCATGCTTCCATGGATGCCATGTTACTTGGCATCAGTGTAGCTCTTTGGGGGTTTCTCCCATTTCTCAGTTTGTGTGTTAATTTCCAGTAAACCGTCAACCAAGCATACAGAACGTATGTTTATGACATGATATCTGGTTGAGAGCAACACAGAATACCTGGGCTTCAAAATGAATACTCTCGAGGTTGGGGGCGGTGGGAATCTGATACCCTATAAACAGTTGTGATTTGGGTTCTTAGAGCTGACAGTTCTTGGTTCTGATGACATCTAAAGGTGAGCATGTATTGTAGTACTTATTATAAAATGGTTTTTAAATTTAGGTTATCTTGCTGCCATTGAAAGGTTTGAGAGGGAAGGATGTAACTAGAACATAGAAGCCTGGGTCTTATGTATCTGAACATGTGTGTGTTCTGTGCTACACACTGGGTCACCCACATGTTGGGAAGGACCACATTCATAGGAGAGTCCAGGCCAAAGCCTCTGCCTGCTGATTGGGTGTGAGCCACATCTGGTCCAATTTTGTACCTATTTTGCCTAAGACCCAACTTTTTAACTCTTTTCAGATTAGCTAAACTGAGAGATGTATGCCAGATGCGACAGGACATGTCACAGAGCTAGGGAGATGTCCTAGTTCTTTGGGTGGTGCTTGGGTTGTCCCCCACCCCCTAAAGCATTGCCTTAACCCCATGAGTAAGAATGGAGGGTCTGTTTAGATAGCAAAATACTTCTCTGGTCCCTTACATGTGGATGAAGACCCTAAAGCACAAAGCAAGATGGGGATGTTTCTTAACTTGAGGTAGTTCCCAAGTGAATTGTCCTCAAGGAAATCATTGGGTTCCTCTAAATGGCTCTCGCCTTTGGAGAATGAGGACACCATGAATGGTTAAGCAGGGTGGCAGAGTTTAGAAGTCATTGCTAGTTAAGTGGTCCTTCCATGGAATAAAAAAAGCCTTCTGTTCTGCTTAGCCTCAGCTCTTCATGGGAGGCGGGACAGCCCCCAGGACAGTGTAAATCCCTATCTTGGGAGAAAAGCAAGTGTCAGAGCTGGGGCATGAATCATTGTTGGGCGATTCCACATGGATGATGGCTGTCTCTGAATTCAAGGGCAGGAATGCGATTTGAGCAACGTAGGGATGGAAACAGCAGTGTGGAACTGACCTGGGTCCCTGAGGTCTCTCCTTTTGCAGGCTAACGTCATGTTTTAACCAAACCTTGCACGTTGAGCTTTCTGTCCTAATGCGCTGAGCTGCACGATGACTTCAGAATAATATTAAGCTTTTCACAGCTTTGTGTTGAGGTTGAGGGCGGGCTAGGTGTACCATAAGGGGACCAGTGGAACCTGGGTGGTGCCTCCAGGCTGAGTCTCTGGGAGAAGGCTTCATCTCTAGGAGGTGAAAGCAGACAGCTCTTCTTGAGGCCCTTATTATTGTTACTATTTTATATTTCATGCATGCTTGAGAATTCCTGGTCCATTTTCTGTCTTGTCTTCCTCCAAAATGGCAGGTGGCAGGGAAGAGCATATTATTTTCATGTATTTTTGCAGTCCTCGTGGCTCATCTTGGACTGTTGACCACCCACCAGGGAATGTTGCCTCCTTTTTAGAAATCAGGACTGTCAGAGGCCCACTTCAGAGGGCCAGCCTTCCTGTGCGGCGTTGCCATCCTGCCCTCCCCTCCCAGGTGCTGCTCCCCACATGAGGGGAGATGGGTGCAGCAGTAGCTTACTTAGCATCCAGCCGAGAGCTCATGCGCTCCATCGTGGTGGGGCAGAAGTCTCGTTGACTGGCCCATATTCTCCAGCTTGCAGTCCCCCAGCCAATCCTAGCATTTTAGAGGCATGAAAGAGAGGTCCTACGTCTAGAGACTGTCTCCAGTTCGAATAGACCAAGTTGAGAAGAATAGATGTTTCCTTTCTCAGCTTGAAGTTGCTAAGGGCCACCCGCGGTGAGATGTGGCTTCACATAACATGAATGGCGTGCACCCTTTATTGCTTGCTCTGTTCCTCATGCTACTAACCAGGCTCTGTCGATGTTGTTTTCATGTTAGTTTTTATTTGGGGGTTGCTCTGCATGCCGTTCCTCCTCTTGGCTGATAGTTGCGGGGGTCGAGCCTTTTCCTTTCTGTGATTCAGGTGCCTCACTCTTTCCTTTCCAGGTTCTTCCAGTTCTTTTAACATGTCAAACTCTGGAGATTTGTTCATGAGCGTGCAGTCACTCAATGGGGATTCTTACCAAGGGGCCCAGGTTGGAGCCAACGTGCAATCACAGGTAGGGACCCAGCCAATGTGCCGCCAGGTGAATGCCTTAGAGTCCAAGAGCCCTCAAGAGTACGGGCACTTCCTGCTTCTGGCCAGAGAGAGAGAGACAGACAGACAGAGAGAGATGTAGAAACAGACCTTACCAACAACCAAACCAAAACAAAGACAACCATTGTCGTGGGGAATCTCGTCCACACTTTGTGAGTGCGTCTGGCTCTGGCTTGTCAGCCTGCCCAGGAGGGCGGGAGAGGAGCACAGGGGGAGGTGACCGAGGCCCATCAGGCGAGTGGACCCAGCGTATTCTCTGCTCAGTAAAGGGAAAGGGAGGAGGCGTTCGGTCCATGGGCTCACCCTCCAGGTCTCTCTCCGGTTTGCTGGTTCTCCACACTCAGCATTGCCCAAGATGGAGGTCATGAATGCACAGGCACATAGCTTGGTTTCCTGTTTTCACTTGAAGCCTTCAGTACTCCCAGCCAGGTTGACTAAACTCCTCTTCTCAGTCATCCTTGGTGTCAAGGGACTTGGGTTTCCGGTGATGAGTCTAAGTCCCCGCTGGGAAACAGAAATCAAGTCGTGTGGTGTCAGCCCTCGGTGCTCCCTATGGAGCCACTTGCCTGCATGATGGGGAAGGAGGCCGTCCTCCCACCTCACCACGCAGCCTGACGCGACAGGGTGAAGCGGTGTGCTCTGGGTGGGAGCTGCGAGGGGAGTTCTGAGCCGTGCCCATCCAGTGGCCCCACCCTGCCTCTGGACCAGGAAGCATCACCTGCCTGGGACCAGGTGAGCTGGCCGGTGACTCAGCCCCTTGCTCAGGAAACATTGCCTGGAAACAAGTTGGAGGAGAAAATGGTCAGACTTTGGTCCGATGACTAAATAACTGGCCATTCTTCAAGTCCTCAGAAATACAGCATTAGTTGCACTGTTTACCCAGCCCCTCTCAACAGAACCTTGACCTTTCTAGGAGTTCCCAGCCGAGAAGTTACATAGGATGATCTGGAGGGAAGGGGCAGTGCCATCACTCTCCCCGCTCCAACCCCCGTCTCGCCCAGCCCCTGCCATCTCGTGCCACATCGTGGAATTTGTTTCAATGTTGGGAATCCCAGCCTTCTTCTACCATTTTACTGTCTTGCCTGCCGAACTCAGAAAGGGTAATGGATTTGGGGTAGTGAGGAGACCCAGCCTCCTCCCCGTGGTTCCTTTCCCAGGAAGACTCTCTCCAACGACTGCATTAATTCGGCATGCCCAAATGGTAGCCTGCGTGATGATGACCTGCCTCCCTTTCCCTGCACCTCCCTGACTAATTTCCTCTCTGTTGTTGTTCGTCTGTTTAGGTGGATACCCTTCGCCATGTTATCAGCCAGACAGGAGGATACAGTGACGGACTCGCAGCCAGTCAGATGTACAGTCCGCAGGGCATCAGTGTAAGAAAACAAGGCTCCCCCCGCCCTTTGTTTTTATTCTATCACTGCCAATTATTTCAAAGCCACGGGGCTCAGAATGCCACTTAGTAGGACTTAGCTTCACGGTCACCTAGTTTCTTGTTTCTGTATCGGTCACGCCGTCGGCAGCATTCTACCCTCAAGAAAGTGGCGACTGGGCAGGCTTCATGCAGGCAGCTGGCGTCTAGGACTGTCACACACAATCAGTGTTTGCGTGGCACCTGCGGCCACATGCGTTCAGCCGAGAGGGGCTGCTAAACAGGTGACACCTAGTACAACGGTGGTAGGAAATGTCACCATGAGCGGGGGTCTGGGAACCTGGGGAGAAAGACCCATAGCCAGAATCCATGGCATCCAGGTCTGTGGTCTTTTTTTTTAAAAAAAAAAAAAGAAAACCTTCTTCCAATCTAAGGACGATTAAAAAAAAATTAACGCCGAGGCTGGGCATGTTGAAGGGATGGGGAGGGGGACAGACCATCTTCTACTTGTTCTTGGGTGCGCTGGCGGCTCCTGACTAGCATGAAAATTCATAGCGACAAGCTATGTCGCACAGAGTGAAATCGATCAGACAGACACAAGGAGACCCGAGTGTAGATTTGGGACAGCAATCCAACTTGATTTCTCAGATCAATCGTCCGCTATCTCAGCAGCGGTGACAGCAAGCTGGGACAAGAGGGCAGCCTGGAAAAGGAGGCCATTCTTTCGATCAGAGGTGATTTCCTGGGCTTTTAGAGGTCGTCTGATGCTCCAGTAGAGCTATTGGCTCAGAGCCACCCAAGGAAACTGTGATTGGATGATGGTGGTGATTTTTGGGGGTTGTTTCTGTTATGATTAAAGTAAATTGGGGATGGAAGGAAGGAAAGGTGGGCGTAGCATATAAGCGTAATGCTAGCTTATTCTAATTGAGGTGTAGTGTCTGCGATGAAAAAGTCCTTCAACTCTGCGTTGGTGAAATCATATGTGAGTGTGGCCAGATTGCAAAGGAGCAAGGAAACACCAGCTGTTTCATCAGACGAGGAATCGTTGAAAGAATTAGGAATTATTAAGCCCACGAAAGAGTAGATCTGAGTGGTGATAGTTTTAAACACGCCGTCACCTGTGAGAGAGATTGGAATCATCGTGCGTGACCTAAAGAGGGCAGGGGAGGTCACTGAGGGGAAGATTCAGAGAAACGCGTTTCACTTCAACATTTGAAGGGCCTTTCTCACAGTCAAGAGTTGTCCGAAGAAGGGACTGGTTGCCTCTGGAAGCCAAGAATTCCCCTCATTGGAACGTTCAAACATGGTTTGGCTAACTACTTGGAAAGAATGTTGTAGACGGGAGGTAAGCACCAGGTGGTGAGTGTCTTGGTGACTTTTCAGACCCCTTCCGATTAGGAATTCTCTATTTTCTACCTTCCTTAGGCAGAATCTGCTCTGAGTTGATAAAGAATTGCCAAGTTCCTCTTCTCAAGGGAAGGAGGTCGGTCAGAGTTGACCCTGGTAAACATAACTGGGCAACTGGGTCCCTTTTTTTTTTAAAGGGTTTCCAGAGCAAACGGGTTCTCTCCTTCCTGTGCTTATACTGATGATTATTACTGTGTTCATGGCTAACTTGCCAGGCGCCTGCTTAGAAAAATAGGAGATACCATGGTGGAGAATTGGGTTCTCAAAAATGGTTTCCGTAGCTCTGTGTGTGGCGGTGGCGGGGGGTTTTCTGGCACATACGCATGTATGCATTTCCTGAATCTTCTTGAGCTGTAAGAGATCTTTCCAGAAAAAGCTCTGCTCTGCACGTAAGTAGAAGAGAGGATCACGAGGAAAGTAGGAGAGTTGGGGGGCGAGGATATAGGCACATTCGAAAAGGGAACTGAAGAAAGTCTACGAGGCTGGGCAGGAAATGGGGCCGCCAGTTCTGTCATTCAGCACCTTTCTTTCCTAACTGGGGAGCATAGAAGAGAGCAGCCCTCAGCCTCGGGCTTGGGGGTGGGGGAATGGGTCACCGTTGGCCCCTCTGACATCGTCTCGTGGGCTGGGAATCATTTCTGAAATGGTGTAACCAAGCACGTGCGGACAGTTATGTCCGACTACATCAGCCCACCACAAAAACGGGGCTGGCAAACGCCACTTGAAAGCATCTCATTTTGTGCTGATTATTTTTCCCCCCTGTGAACTGTAAGTTTATTTGATTTCCGGGTCTTTAATCTGCAGAGTAAATGAATCCAAGGCAGATCATGATACGGGATGTTCCTTTGGTATCAGTTTGAAGTTGTGCCACCTGCAGGAGCCTCAGCTTGGTAGAGGGACATGTATTCTTAGGTATTAGACGCTGCTCCCTGTGTTATGTGCAGAGAGGCCTCTGGCTGCCAGAAGGGAGAGAGAGAGAGAAAAAAAAGGGAGGGAGGGAGAAGAGACAAGGACAGGAATGAAAGAATTGAGCCAAGGAGTAAAAATAAACAGTCCCTAAACCCAGGGCAGCAGTGGAATTCCCAGCTGGGCTCTGGATTGTGTTTCATTCCGTGGAGGACGTTTTCTGGGCAGCCTATCTCGGCTCCCCTGGCTGCGTTCTCACAGCACCCACACCTTCTCCGACCAGTGTCTATTTTAAATCCTGTAGAGTTCAGACCACTTGCTTTTAACGCGAGGGGGCTGCAAGGGTGCAGTGGTCAGAGCCCTGTGATGGGGGTTGGGAGACTCCCGCCCTGGTGACTCTCATGTGTCCGAGGACAGACGTCAAATGCTCGTTTATAAAATGGGGCCAGTAATTCCCACTCTTCATGCCTCAAGGGCTGTATTAGGGCAGAGGAGAGAATCGGCAGGAAAGGGCTTGGCAAAGCATAGCTTGCTCCACGCGAATGCAGTAGGAAAAACCGTTCTAAGTGAGAACTTTCCAAGTTGACCTCTTTTCTCCCTTTGTAGGAGCAGTCTTCTCCATAGGGAGTTCCTAGTGGGGGGACGTTAGGTCTCAGTTGTCACTTATTTTCCTCTTCTGATGGAAAAGGATGCTTTCGAAAGCAGTATCGAGTTGTGCCGGGCCAAAGGGCCCCCCTTCCCCCGCCGTGGCGAGCGTTAAGTGATGCCTCCTTGAGTGCTTTGTGCTCACAAATGACAACGGGCAGTGGTTACTGGGTTTAGAGTAATGGAGGGAGATTAGGTCACTTCTCTGTCAATCGGACAGACTTAAAGATCACATCCCCTTATTCCTGTCCCTTCCCACTGCCACCATCCTTGTTCTAGAAATAGTTCATTCGCTGGACTTTTGTGATTATACCCTAATTACTCTTCCTGCCTTTAGTTTCTCCTGCACTCATCCCGAGTGTCGTCATTCCTTGCCCAGAAATCATGCCTCTCTTGCCTAGCTGAGCAGCTGGCCTGAGATTCAGAGTCTTTCCAATCCTTTCCTCTCGTCCTGTCACCCAGTAAACTTTGGATGCCAGGCAACGTAGCCAGCTGACTTTCACCTAGCGATAGGTGTTCCCTACATCCACTCATGTGTGCTGACTATGCAAATGTCCTTTCTTCCTCCATCACCTTCCGCACCCCACCCTGCTCTCAAAATCCCACTCTCCCATGTCTAGCTCCTCCTTACTGTCTGTTCTTTGTGTCTTTCGTTCCTGAATATGTGTGTGGTCCTAAAATGCCTCTGTTAGCTGCTCAAAACACATTTGTTGAAGGAATAAATCAGACAGAAGACAAACTACCACTAAATTTAAAAACGCGTTTTCAGGACCAATAGCCACATCTTCTATAACAGCTGTAAAGTATCTAGTGATGATTTTTATTTGAAATGCCTTACTTATCTGCCCATAGACTGTCTTTTTTTAATTCAGAAAGCTTCTTCAGTCTTTCTTTTTGGGAAAAGTTTCTAAACTTTTTGACCAGTGCAGATTCTCTGAGAATAAAATTCAGATCAGCATTAAATAGAGGAAGTTACATAGTGATGCTATTGTCCAGAATTCTCTCTTTGAGTTCCTTAACGCCACCTTTTCCTAAAAAAGTCATCCTTATCAGACCTGTTCTTTGGATGGCCATCCACGTAGCAGTGGAACATCGTTCCTCATGGGGTTCTCTCTGCTGTCTCTACCAGACACGGGAGTGGAACCTGCACGAACAAACTGGTTGAAGGTGGCAGCACCCTGAGGTCAGGAAACTTGGATCCTTCTTGTGGCTTTTCTTGCGGCGAGTCCTTTCATCTCTGTATCGTTGCATCATCTGCCAAATTTACCCGATAAACAAGCCCTAAGGTCCTTTCAGCTCATTCCGGAGTCCTACAAGGATGCTCTTTGATTCTTACTGTTCACTCAAGGCACACCAGGCTCAACTGTAGGTTCCTCTTTCCAGAAAACTTTCCTCTGTTTAGTCTCCGCCATACTTCCTAGCCCACCCCATCACTTCCCCTCCAGCTGCATCTTGAGGGAAGGAGGAAGAGCTTGCATTACAGGACCTTCTCCCTTTGAATTCTCAGAGATTGGTGGTAGCAGAAACATTATTCTTTGGGGTGAAACTATTTTTAATTGTTTTTAAACGTGAGTTGAGGGAGTGAGTTCACTCCAGCCACATCTTAAATGTCAGTAGATACCCTATAAGATTTTTCTTATTCAAGAGTTTTAATGAAAATGAACATACAGTCTTAGCATTCTCTCTATAAAGGCAAAGTGCCATGAACGTCAGTTTATGACCGAAAAATCTCATTGATTTTGCTTTGTGATAATTATAGTGGGAAAATAGAGCTGAAGCTTTGATCTCTGTAAACCATTAACATA